TCTCTCCTCTTCTCTCCTCTCTCCTCTCCTCTCTTCTTCTGTCTCCCCCTCCTTTCTCTCTCCCTTCCCCTCTCTTTTTGTTTCTTCCCTTCTCTCCTCTTTCACTTATTGCCTTTGCTTCCCTCTCTCTCGCCTCTTCTCTGTTGCTCTTCCCCTCTCCCACTTTCTCTCTTCTACCCCCCCTTTATTTTTTCTTCCCCCTCTCACTTTTCTTATCTCATCCTTTCCCTTCACCGTTCCCCTTTCTGTCTCCATCTTTCTCTTTCTGTCCTCTCCCTCTCTCGTTCCGTGTTATTCTCTCTTCTGACTCTTCCTTTCTCTCTCCTGTCTCCTCTTTCCTCATTCTCTTCCTTTGTTTCCTCTTTCTCCCCTCTTCCTCTCTCTTTTCCACTCCTTTTCTCACTTTCCTCCTCCTATCTTTGTCTCTCTCTCCATTATTCCCCCATCTCTTGCTCTTTTCCACTTCTCCCTCTCTCTGTCCCTTCTCCCACTCTCACTTTTCCTCTTTCTACCCCATTTCCCTCCTTTTCCTCCCCCTTTCTCTCTCCCTCTTCCACTTCTTTTGTCATTTTCCTGCTCTTACCCTCCTCTGTATCTCTCCCACTCCTCTCTCATCCCTCTCTTTTTCTCCCCCTCCTTTCTTTCTTTCCTTCTTTCTCCCTCTTTCCTCATCTCTCCCCCTCTACCCTCCCTTTTTCTCTACTCTCGCCCTTCTCTGTCTCCCCCCCTCTCCCCTTCCCCCTCCATCTCTTCCTCTGCCTCTCCCTCGCCTTTTAACTATCCCTCTGTCTTTCCCTCTGTCTCTCTTCTCCAGTTCTCTTCCACCATCTCCTCCCTTCCTCTCCATCTCTTTCACTCCCACTCCTCCTTTTCTGACCTTCCCCTTCTTTTCCCCCTCATCTCTCCCCACTCTCCCTGTCTCTCTCCTCTCTCTTCTCTCTCCCCTTTTTCTCTTTCTCCTTTCTCTCCTTCCTGTCTCACTTTCCCTCTCTCTCCCCCTCATGTCCTCTATTTCCAATTCTAACTTTACTCCTTTCCACTTCTCTATCATCTT